ATCAATGCCATGTAGAATTAAGGCAGTTCTGAAGGCGAAAGGGGGTCAAACACCGTATTAGTATGGTGTTCCTAATAATCCTTTAGGTGAGTGTAGACACAAATTTAGTGTGCAGCACCCATTCATGCATGGAGACGTGCAATGACGTCAAACGCATCATAGAAGTTTGTGCAGACACGCCTGCTAGTACACGTGTGGAGAGGTATCAGCCTTATGGATTTAAACGCCATAAGCACGTGTTGTGCAGACAAGAACGCATGCAAGGTTATGTGCATGGGTTTTCAGACTAAACATCATAGGTTTGGGCTTGTGTTGTTGTGTGCTCAAGGGAACAAATGCATCGCCTCGCTACATCATTCATGTCGCAAAATTTATACCGGTGTTATCGTGGACGGCATGATTGCCCCAATGCAAATCTAGTTAAATTTCAAGCAAAAGTACCCAAGTTTTGAAAGAGGGAATATCCTTGATATACACAAGCTGCAAGTTTGCTAGCCATTATGTTTTATTCAGCAGACATTTTTGTTCAGAAAGTGAGTGCAGAGAAGTGAAAGGTTTACTCCAATCAGAAAGTTTAATAACCAGCATTATATCTAACCAATGTGCAGCACAGGCACTTTGTGGGTTAAGAACATCCAACTCACAGATAACTCATACTTACAAACTGCCTTAAATTACATAAAAATTGAAGTTAAATACAATGGTAATAATGACCACACACACACACACACACACTACTTTGTGACGCTCGTGAAAACATTGGGTGGCTTCTGCAGTTATGTACTATATTATTTTTCCGATTTACCTACAAATTCAACTTAAAGACAGACTCAAGGAATGGATGCACAGTAGTTCATAACCTGGGGACAGCCTGTTGTTCAAAACAATACAAATAAGTATTGTAAAGATGCATCCAACTAGGCTAAACTCTAGAAGAGCAGTTTTACCATTTTAGCGCAGACTGAAGTTCACATTAGTTTAGCATCATTAAAAAAATCTTCAGGTCAGAAACATACTACTTAAATAATAGATGCGGTTACACTGATTACAGGGGTTCACCACACAGAAATTCCTTTAATTCTAACAGCCCATCTTAGGAGTAACACTCAAATACATTTTAAAAAGAGTCTGAATATTTAGATGCATGCTGAAATGTTGCTGCCATGTTGCCTAGTGTAATATGTTTAGAAACTAATTTCACCATTTTATATCGCCCGTCAAATTAATGCAGTAAGAGAATTATTAATGTAACAAAATCCAGATTATGAACAGAACGAAACTATTCTATTAAAAACCATAAAGCACAGTGAGAACAAGCACACCATGGTTCAAGCACATCCCAGGTTTTAAAAATAAACCCCGGCAACACAAATCACATTTAAGGCCCACGTGCATTGGTCAGTTCTGCATTTTCAATACAAATGTGTAACCACTTCCTGAAATTAGAAATTTGTATGTTCACTCACTGCAAAGCAAAAGACTATTATGAAGTGCTCTAAGAAATAAGGAGGTGGCACAATTTAGACCATGAATATACAGACTGACATTTCTACAAGTCATTGAGAACTTATTTAATCGTCCAGTGTATGATTTTACAAATATCATACACTGGACGATTAAATAAGTAACTGGAGCAGCAGTTGAATAAAAGTTCTGCAGCCTCTCAAAACTGGACGTGTTTCCACAATTCTGGGCATTAGTGTACAGCTAATCTGTGCTGCTACACACAGGTTCTGCATCCCTCCATCTGCTCACTTCCCTTTCAGTACACAGTGGAATACGATTTAAGACTGTTCGTGTACCATGATATGCATGCATGACCTCAGCACATACAGAGAGCTAGTAACAGGTTAACAGAGGAACACATTCCAGAATTCTCACCTATCCAATATTTATTACCAATAAATGTTTCTACACCAGACCTCTAACCTATAATATAAAGTTCTAGTTACTCAATTCAACCACTTTTTAATAAAAAAGTTTAATTTTTACAATATTGTTTTACAGCTTTGCCTTTAGTGTTATAAAAGTGATACTGTTTTGTGATGGGATTATTATGCAAAACAAATTTAAGCAAATGCAAAGCTTTAGGATAATTTGGTTAGTTTAGTGTCACACTGAAGCTGTAAGGCAATTCAAATTTTGGCTTAAGGTAGTTTGAATATTTCCCAAGGGAACACGATCTTTACCGGGAGCCTTTTTTACGTTTCCAGTCTTTTTCACATAATAATTTTTATGCTCGGTCTGTGGAACAGGTCAGTTTTTAATTTTTGAATGTATGATGAAAAAGTGAACTAACGGAGGCATTTGGAAACTACGTTATTACTGTATTGGGAGCATCAATACATTCACACGGCCGACGAGAAGGTTAATTGGAGCAGCCTCCTTTATTGTTATAGCGCCAGACAAAGTCATCTTGTTTCTGTAAAAGTGATTAACCCAAACCCCCCCCCACCCCCCCCCCCCCCCCCCCCCCCCCCCCCCCCCCCCCCCCCCCCCCCCCCCACAACAACCCTCAAAAAAAAAAAAACCCCCCACC